CAGCCCCTACCCCCCCCCCCCCCCCCCCCGCCTTAACCAAGGAGCTTGAGGAGCAGCAGAAGAGACGGCGTGTGCCCTGTTTGCAGTGCTGAAATAACACCGAGACACTTAAGCACAAACGGATACTAGTGGATGGTGCCCTGCTATACTGTAGGGCTGTACCAAGATTAATGCTAGCTGTGTGACAGAAACTGGTATGCAGGCATGTTCATCAACAGAGAGGTATTGCCAGATTAAAATAAGATGCAGATGAAAAACATTTATAAGGCAGCAACTGGATGAGAAAAAAAGTCCATATTCTTTGGTCACAAAGATATGCAGCACTTACTTATAAAAAGTCCATATAAAACAAAATCTGTTGGTATGCACATGTTCTCTTAAATGCATCTTGTTCATAACAGGATGCTATTTTTGACATCTCTTCCTGCTGCTATGGATTTGTTATCTACTGGCTGAAAGCCCATGTCAGGTACATTTGATACAGCCAGTTGCAGCAGCAAAGGGTCCATTCTTCCAAAAACATAAACTCCAGTTTATGGTATGTTTTCTAAAAATATTTCATATGTATACAATAGTTCAGAGCCCCTGTTGGCATAGGTGTTTAGTCCAGTGGCTTTCACACAATCATGAATGTGCTCTGTGTTTTTACTTGCCTGCTGGGTTGTTCAGCACTGAAAGATATGAACATACCTATTCTTCTTAGTTTATTTTAAATTTCAGAAATATGTTTGATAAGTTGGTGCTTTGCAAAATTCACTATTAGGACTACAGAAAATAATTTGTTTATATAAACTGATTAATGTAATGTTATTCTTAACAGTTAAATATATAACAGATTATATATATTCATTACCAAAATTTATACATACACAGTAAACTGCTAAAACTTTGACTGTGGATGTATAGAGAAGCAATTTTGCTTAAGTGATGAATATTAAGTAGCATAAGTTGGAAAAGACAACAGGATGTTTGGAGGACTGAGAAGGTAAGACAGTTAAAACTTTATGCTGTATCTTACTGGTTATAGCCTCCAAAATTATAATAGCACAACAGCAATTCATGTTCCCCTCGACATGAGGGAAAGCAGTACTGCATTTGCACATAAGGCTTGCACACCATTGGTGGCTTTCACCTAACTCATTTGTACTTAAAACTTTCTAAGGGGTCACTAAGGTAGGGGATGAAAAGCCCTATTTAGCTCAATACAAGTGTTCCTACTCAATAAAGGCACACAACTGCTTGAAAGAGGAAGCTGCAGTACTGAAAGCAGAGTCAGTGCTTGACTGCATGAGACCATGCCTCTCACAGAAGGTGAATGATGTCTTACTTCAAAAAACTTTATGAAATGCAAACTCAGTTAAATCCTTTCAAGTTTCTTCTTTGCATGGCAACAATAAACCAGTGATTGACTATTCTTAGAGCTGTTACTTGAATAACTGGGGAGAGGGAAATCTAAGGTTCCTACTAAGGCATGTACAAGATGGCTTGCTGTCCCTTCATTTTAAGATTTGTAGTTTGATTTACTATCAAAGACCATAGAGGTCAACTTAAAAAAAAAAAAAGCAAAAACTTTCTTTTAGCATACAGGTTCCCCCCCCTCCTATTAGCATAAGTGCCTTTTTAGATACCAGGTGAACTAAAACTTACTATGTAACTGTTTCACACAAAACAATTTTTTTTTCACAGCTAGAAATAGGTAGCCTCTGAAAATGTTAAGTTGCCAATATAAAGGAATGCATCAGCAAAGTAAGCCAATAATTCATAACTATCGCTAAAACAGTGAAGAGAGAACTGCTTACAAAGGCAAACGGTGAGCTGATTTTAATTAAATTAAGCAATACTGTCGCAGGCATTGCTCATAGTCGTATTTCCAACTGTATACTGCTGAAGTTACCTGTTCAAAAGGTAAAGGTATCATATTTAAAAGATGTTTTGTTTGACTTTCCATGAAGTATTGTGTTAAAAACACAATTGAAGAAAGTTCCTGCTTGTGATGAGAATCACTTTCAAGTACTTAAATTTGAATATCCCTCTAAATTCCATTCATTAAATGTGTTTTAATAAAAGCATGACTACAGAAAACCAATTAACATAACAGAGTTTATCTTGCATAATTTTTTCCACAACTGTATTTTACATATCACCAAACTTGTGCTTTAGCAAAAGAAAAAAGAATACAAATAAATTCTCTCCTGACTATTTATACACAAGAATTACCCTTTTGTGGGACCAGATACTTTACAGTCCCTCTAACCCAAGGCGTAATCTTAGGTGTATCCTTTTGTGATTTAGGTTCCTGGAAGTTTTCAGCAAACCTTTCTCTTGCTTTATCCCAGTTCTTTTTATTCTTGCTCTGGATGATCTGAACATCTTCAATTGAGGCTGGTCTACTTGTACCCAAACCTGCATGCATCTTATGTAACTGAAGGTGGATCTGTCGAATACATTAAATATTGTTGTAACTGCAAGTTAGGTATTCTAAATACTTCAAATCATATTTTGTAATACTAATTCCCCCCTCCCCAAGCACTTTGTTTAAGGCTCTAATATACTTAGATCATACATGGGCATCTAAAGTACCGTTAAAACAATGTGTCAAATCACCACCTCTAGAACTATGATCTAGAGTGCTGATGTCACCTGCCACTAACATCACTGTGAAGTACTTCTCACCAAATGAATAGCATATGAGCCCTGTGCTGGATAGTTTGACAACACAAGGCACGGTGTGGCTCTGAGCAGCACTATTGCCAAAAGACAACACCGCAATGGTGACAAAAACAGGGCTAAGATGACTGCCACAGAGGCCTAGAACTTGGTGGCTACAGTAAGTGACTTCAGACAGCTTTTCCTCTCTCATGGTGCATCATCTAGTTTGAATTTGGTGCTACATCAGCCTCACAGAAAGTGAAGGATTCCACCATAAGCCCATCTTGAATTCACATCACTTAAAATTATTTAAATCTTCCTCCAAACTTTGTATTCAAATATGAGATTATTAATTCAATAGCTAGAAGCTGTCTGTCATCCCTTGCTTAGTTTCCCAACAACCACAAACATTACTGGCATTTTCCACTGAAGGGACAAAATAATTGAAAAATTTCAAAATACTTCATTAATCAAGTCAAAAGTGATTTGAGATTAGTCCTACTGAGATTATTCCTTCCTACCCAAGATTTTGAAATGTTTCAAGTGAATAGTGGCTTACAATTAGACATTTTTGACTGCAAACACATTTCTATTTCTTTTTGCTCCAAGTAAAAACCAAACAGACCTACCGGATCCTTCATACCATCACCATCCTTGCCCAGGCCTTCCCCTTTTTTCCATCCCATCTTCTCCAACATTTTATGTCCTTTGTTGCTGTTGCTGATTTCACTTTAAAGAAAGTTTAAGATAACTGATAAGCAAGAGTTAATACAAAGAGTATGCTCTCTACTCAAATACTGAAGGACAGAAATGTGCAGGTATATGCTGCTCTAGAAACCAGGACTCAACTACTATGCTGTTCCTACTTCCATCAAGAGCTATCCAGAAGACCCTAGTGCCACCTTTTGCAAGTTCTTCCATTAATATCTTCGGTTACCAAAGCTATGCCAAGCCTCTGGTCAATACCAACTTTCTTAAAACTCCCTCTGAACTACTTACTTACTTTAGGAGTTAAAAGATACAGCATAGGTGGGTGCAAATCAATTGCACTAGGGAAAAGGCATTATCACTACCTCACCACCAAATCATCCTAACGCACGTATTTCACTGTCTCACACTTCCTTTTAATAACTTACAAGCACTTACAAGTTCATGTTTCTTAAAAACAAACAAACAAACAACCCCTCCAAAAACAACAAAACAAAAAACCTCAAAACCTCCCAAAAACCCAAAGAAACACACAACAAAAAAGCAACTACAGAAGCAGAGGAATAATTAAAGAGGAAGATTAAAATAAGTGTCATTTAAGAGGTATGTAAATGCATGTCCTGATAGGCTGGATATTGACAGTGAAAGAAACTGCAGGTAAGAAAATTGCATATGTGCTGTTGCTGGGACTGGATAGAAAAAACAGAAACTGAGGCACTTGAAAAACAGACACTATTGAAGGTGTCAATAGTGCTGCTGGGGAATTCCCTGATTGTTTGAGTTGGTAAGAAAGTGATCAAAACATCCTTACTGCCAAGTTGAATTCTGTATGGAATGTGAGGAATTAATAAAAATAGCATATGAACTGGGAAGTGAGAATAACTTGAGTATTTTCTAGCTCTCCCAACACATTATATACATGTAATTCATAATCTAACAAACTGTATCCTAGTAACTAATCGATACGTACTGCATCATCATTTTTTAAGATTCACTAGAGAAGGACACAGAGGATTCCCCCCCCAACAAACTTACATATAGACAGAAGCTGGAGTATCATCTCTCTGGAAGGTTCCTTCACTTCCAATGGTCTCTCTGCGCTCTCCTGCTCTATTTTTGTACTTTGGATTCTTCACTGCTTTTTTGTCTTCATACTCTGCGTTCTTTGCAAACAGATTAAATTCCATCAAGGCAAAGAAAGCTGGCTTTAAATTCTTTATTTTCAATAACTTCACTGCTTCCCTCCAAAAGTAAGGAACAGCTTCAGCCTATTTCATTAATTCTAAATCTTATAACAAAAAACTATAGTTCTCATTCAGTAGTTTGTTATTGCCACCATCATATAATAATGCAATATTGCCAAATTAATTAATTTCACAGAGGCTGTAAATAAATTAACAGATTCTCTTGAATCTTCTCTTGGTATGAAGAATCAATCTCTCCATATTAAGCAGAAAACCATATGGACATGTCACTGACTTTTTGTTTAAACATATAGCCTGTTCTTCAGCAACTATTTCTTCAGAATAGATGACACAACTAAGCACTTGTATAGATTCTGTACCGATGTTATTTCAGTAGTGGAAGAATTTGAGAGAAACAATGGCATTCTGTTTTCTACATGAATACTTATTACAAGTGCTAGGTGCAACCCCATTGTTAAAATAATCTCTAAAACAGAAGTAACTGGAATACCTATATACTATATAGTCTGTACATTCATGTTGGCATTTTTCTACGGCAAAGCAGACTTAAAATAAAAACTTAAAAATTTTCCCTCTTTCTTCCATCATTTTTTCAGTTGCTCATTATTTTTCCCTTTCCAAATAAAACATAGCACTGCAATTTAGTGCCAACTTAATTTGCAGAAATAAAAATAGCTATGTCTTAAGAAATCTTAACCTCAGAAGGATGAGGAATCTTGTACACATTGGAACTGATCATTTTTTCCTAAAATTTTAACAGAACTTCCATGCCCTGTTATCATAATCTCTCTCTGTAGAGGTTTGTAAAAACCAATTATTTAGTGTACAAAAGACAAACCTGAGTAAAACCACCAGGCTCAAGTTTGAGTGCATTTGAAAACTTTCCTTATTGACTGAAGTCTATGGCTTAAAATAGGAATCACAGAATAGACACAGACTTCAAACAATCAATTTCTACTGTTAACTCACCTGTAAACCATATTTTACCCGTATTTGTTTTAATGCTTTTCTTCTGACTAACTCTCTCTCTTCTTTGCTAAGTGCTGGGCAAACTAAAAGGAAGAATACAGGATTGAATTTCTAATTAATAATGTAACAATGTTTTGAAACATAAGACAACTGTGAGAAATTTTGTTCTAGCATTATTACACAGACACACATACCAAGAAGAAAATACATCAGCATAGAACTATTTCCTGTTGAAAAGAAAATTGTAAGAAAACTATCTGAAGTAATTATGTTTATAAAGTAAAGATCTATAATAAAAAACATATCCAGTGATAACATGACTAACCAGAAGTTTCCTTTTTCCTATCCAGGCGAAGATGTGCTCTGACTTGTCCTGGTTCACATCCATCACAAGTATCACTGCCAGGATGTATATGAAAAGAAAGTACAGTTTCACCAATCTTCACTTCATCTCCATGCTCCAAGATGTAGGGATCACATTTTGTTTTAGGCTACAGCAAAAGAAAGTTTTGGCAGCCATTTTTATTAGTTACTAATGAAGGGCACCAACTCTATTTCATGAATGCTGCTCATAATTTAGTGATTCAGTTTGGTCTCACAAATGCAGGCAAATATTTAACTACAGTTAAACTACAGTGGGTATTTCACTCTAGCAACTGTAACCATAGTGGATTTTTCCTAATATAAACCAAACATGAAGTATTACAAGTGGCCCTAAAACCAGAAGGGAACCAAGGAAGAGACTAATGTATGAAAGAAGCTATAAATGACATTGTTAGTGATTTGCCATAACATATTTAAAATGACCACATGACTACCATTTTCTGCAACATACACAGCATTATAGACAACAAGTACTCACCTGGAGAATCTGATTTCCATTAACAACTGTTCCATTCTGACTGCCTTGATCCACAAGAACATAATTTTGCAAATCGTGGTCAAAATATACTTCTGCATGGAACTGATAAATAGAAGCCTAAGTGAAATGTTCTCATTAAACAAATACTTCACAATTTATATGCTATTTTACAGTAAGATTTCAGAATGTATTTTGGGGCCTTTTAACTGAGTGGCTCTGGTACTCTTAAGTTAATAGAGTATTCCATGCCTTATGATTTCACCTATTTGAAATGTAAATGAATGGGCCACAACAACATGAGCTAAAGTATTCTATTAATAATATAACTATTTTGACCATAAACTGATTCAGTACTGAAAAGGTATATACCTCCAATGTGGCAAGTATGCTTTACTTAAAGGACTGCAAGATACAATAATAAAGCATTTTTAACTGTTCTTATAAATAAAAGGCTTTTTTCTTGTAAGGTATGTTATAGCACTCTCAATTTTTCTCTTTCTGGAGTGCATCAAAAAAGATTCTGAAAGAAATGCAATTAAAAAAAATCTGATCTCATTCTACAGTTTCAGGTTACTTGGTCTTTCATATCTAAAATAACTGACTAAATGCTGTGTTTTAGTAAATTTCATGTAATTCACTTTCACCTGAATCTTAATGCCCAGGACACAATTATTATCCATCATTTGCTGTTCCTTTTATCTCCTTTCTGATATCAAGACTAACAATCTAATTTTTTTTTTTTGGTTACAATTCTATATAGGTATTGCTCCCAAGCCCAGATAGAACACAGAAAACACAACTCCAGGCCAAATTCACAAACACATACACTACCTCCAAAAATGGCCACTAAGCAAACCAAAATATCAACTTCTGAAGCCTACTAAGACTCCCAGTAAAAAAAACAGAAGTCTAAAAAAATGACAGTTTCAAATTTGACAAGCAAAGATGCCTTTTGCTATAGTAGAAGAAAAAAATCAACAGTCAGTCTGTGAAGAAAGTGCTCATTTAAAACCAAATCCCTTATTTTTGAGCA